TTTGAGAAGTATGCTGATGCAATTTTGATTGGGATTGCATTGAAGGTGTAGATTGCTTTGTGTAGTAATGACATTTTAACTATATTTATTCTTCCAATCCATGAGCATGGAATGTTTTTCCATTTCTTTCTGTCTTCTTCAATTTCTGTCATAAGTTTTCTATAATTTCATCATACAGATCTCTTATATCCTTGGTTAGGTTTATATCCAGGTATTTTATGGCTTTTTGTGCATTTGTGAATGGGATCAGTTTTTTTATTTCTCTTTCTGTTGCTTCATCGTTGGTATATAAAAATGCAACGATATCTGTACATTGATTTTGCACCCTGCAACTTGGCTGAATTCTTGGATCAGTTCTAGTAGGCTTCTGGTGGAGTCTGCAGGGTTTTCTATGTAGACTATCATGTCATCTGCGAAGAGTGAAAGTTTGACTTCCTCTTTGCCAATTCTGATGCCTTTGATTTCCTTTTGTCGTCTGATGGCTGATGCTAGGACTTCCAGCACTATGTTAAACAACAGTGGTGAGAGTGGACATCCCTGTCGTGTTCCTGATCTCAGGGGAAAGCTCTCAGTTTTTCCCCGTTGAGGATGATATTAGCTGAAGGCTTCTCATAGATGGCTTTGATGATGTTTAAGTAGGTTCCTTCTATCCCAACTTTCTCTAGAGTCTTTATTAAGAAGAGATGCTGTATTTTGTCAAAAGCTTTTTCTGCATCTATAGACAGGAACATACGATTTTTGTCTTTTCTTTTGTTGATGTGATGTATCACACTGATTGATTTGCGAATACTGAACCAGCCCTGTAACCCAGGAATGAATTCCACTTGATCTTGGTGGATAATTCTTTTTATGTGCTATTGAATTCGATTTGCAAGTATCTTGTTGAGGATTTTTGCATCTGTATTCATCAAAGATATTGGCCTGTAGTTCTCCTTTTTTGCTGGGTCTCTGTCTGGCTTGGGAATCAAAGTGATGCTGGCTTCATAAAATAAGCCCGGAAGTTTTCCTTCGATTTCTATTTTTTTGGAATAGTTGGAGAAGAATGGGTATTAATTCTGTTTTAAATGTCTGATAGAATGCCCCAGGGAAACCATCTGGCCCAGGGCTCTTATTTGTTGAAAGATTTTTGATAACTGATTCGATTTCCTCACTTGTTATGGGTCTGTTCAGGTTTTTTATCTCTTCCGGTGTGAATTTTGGTAGTGAAGTGTGTGTTTAGGAATTTGTCCATTTCTTCTAAGTTGTCCAGTTTGTTGGCATATAGTTTTTCATAATATCCCCTGATAATTGCTTGTATTTCTGAGGGATTGTTTGCATTCAGTCCATTTTCATTTATGATTTTGTCTATTTGACAAAATTTTGTCTCTTTTCTTTTTGAGAAGTCTGGCTAGAGGTTTGTCAATTTTGTTTATTTTTTCAAAAAACCAACTCTTGGTTTCATTGATCTGTTCAACTGTTTCTTTGGTTTCTGTGTTGTTTATTTCTGCCCTGATTTTTATTATTTCTCTTCTTCTACTGGGTTTGGGGTGCTTTTGTTGCTATCCCACTAGTTGTTTTAGGTGCGCTGTTAGATTTTGTACTTGCGCTTTTCTAATTTCTTGAAATAGGCCTGGAGAGCAATGTACTTTCCTCTTAGGACTGCTTTCGCCGCATCCCATAGAGTTTGGATTGTTGTATTCTCATTTTCATTTGTTTCCATATATTTTTTAAATTTCTTCTCTAATTGCCTGATTGGTCCATTTGTTCTTTAGTAGGGTGTTCTTTAGCCTAATGTTTTTGGGGGTTTTCCATACTTCTTCCTGTAATTGATTTCGAGTTTCATAGCATTGTGATCTGAAAGTGTGCATGGTATAATCTCAATTCTTTTATATTTATTGAGGGCTGCTTTATGTCCCAGTATGTGATATATCTTGGAGAATGTGCCATGCGCACTTGAGAAGAATGTGAATTCCATAGCCTCAGGATGTAGAGTTCTAAATATATGTCTCAAATTCATCTGGTCCAATGTGTCATTTAAGTCCATTTTGTCTTTATTGATTTTCTGTCCAATTGATCTGTCCATTGCTGTAAGTGGAGTATTAAAGTCCTCTGCTATTAGCATGTTCTTATTGATAAGACTGTTTCTGTTTGTGATTAATTGTTTTATGTATTTAGGTCCTTCTATATTTGGTGCACAGACATTTATAATTGTTAGCTCTTCCTGATGGATAGACCCTTTAATTATTATATAATGCCCTTCTTCATCCCTTGTTACTGTCTTTACTTTAAAGTCCAGTTTGTCTGTTATAAGTATAGCTACTCCAGCTTTTTTTGACTTCCTGTAGCATGATAGATATTTCTCCATCCCCTTACTTTCAATCTGAGGGTGTCCTCCTGTCTAAAATGAGTTTCTTGTAGACAGGAAATAGATGGATTTTGTTTTTTTATCCATCTGCTACCCTATGTCTTTTGATTGGGGCATTTAGTCCATTTACATTCAGAGTTATTATTGAAATATATGGGTTTAGAGTTATTGTGTCATTTGTGGGATTCATGCTTGTGGTGTGTCTCTAGCATCTTGCATTCCTTGCACCATTTCCCTCAGAGAGTCCCCCTCAGGATTTCTTGTAGAGCTGGTTTAGTGGTGATGAATTCTTTCAATTTTTGTTTATTTGGAAAGACTTTTGTCTCTCCTTCTATTCTGAATGACAGGCTTGCTGAATAGAGGATTCTTGGCTGCATATTTTTTCTCTTCATCACATTGAAGATCTCCTGCCATTCCTTTCTGGCCTGCCAAGTTTCAATAGATAGGTCTATAACCACTCTGATAGGTTTCCCTTTGTATGTTTGGGCCCTTTTATCCCTAGCTGCTTTCAAAATTCTCTCCTTGTCCTTATACTTTGCCGTTTTCACTATGATATGTCATGCAGAAGATCAATTCAAATTACGTCTGAGGGGAGTTCTGTTGGATGCCGGCTCCAGCAGGTCCAGGAGTCCCTGAAGGATGGACGGTGTCGGCGAGGGAGGGGTGAGAGAG